TTTTTGGTGCTACTAATGATCTTATGTGTGAGGAATTTACTAAGATTATGCAAGGAGAGTTCGAAATGTCAATGATGGGAGAATTAAATTTCTTCCTCGGTCTTCAAATTCGACAACTTGAACATGGGACATTTCTTAGCCAAACGAAGTACTCAAAAGAACTTCTCAAGAAATTTGAGATGGAAGATTGTAAAGAAATGGCTACCCCAATGAGCTCTCAATGTTCACTTGATAAAGATGAAAGTGGTAAGTCGATTGATGTCAAACGATATCGAGGTATGATCGGTTCATTATTATATTTAACCGCTAGTAGACCTGATATTATGTTTAGTGTTTGTATGTGTGCTAGATATCAAGCAAACCCTAAGGAATCACATTTGACTGCTGTCAAACGTATCCTTAAGTATGTGAGAGGTACCTTTACTATGGGACTGTGGTATCCCAAAGGTTCAACATGTACTCTCATTGGGTATTCTGATTCCGACTTTGCCGGGTGCAAAATGGATAGAAAAAGTACTAGTGGAACCTGTCATCTTTTTGGATATTCACTTGTTTCTTGGTTTAGTAAGAAACAAGTTAGTGTTGCTTTGTCCACCGCCGAGGCAGAATATGTCGCTGCGGGAAGTTGTTGCGCCCAGATTCTTTGGATGAAACAACTTTTGGATTATGGCCTTGTACTTGATCATATTCCTTTGAGATGTGATAATATGAGTGCTATAAATATTACGAAGAATCCAGTTCATCACTCTCGTACAAAGCATATTGATATACGACATCACTTTATTAGAGACCATGTCCAAAAGGGTGATGTAGACATTGAGTTTGTCGATACAACTAATCAGTTGGCCGACATTTTTACTAAACCTTTGGATCGTGAGAATTTTTGTCGTATTAGAAATGCCTTAGGAATTATTGCCATTACTTAAGTTAATTTTTTTATTTTTTTTATTTATTCTATTTAATTTTATACTAACTTAGGCATCGGAGTGGCCTTAATTCTTTTTTGCAGGTTCTCACCCATCCACTCCTCTTTCTCAATCCATATGAAGCATTTATTGAGGGGGAATTATACTTTGACTTTAGTTTTTTTTTTTGAAGATTTTCAAAGGACTGCTCAGCTACAGTGTTTTATTCGAATAGTTTGGGACACTAATCGAACAAGTTTGTTGCTTAAACTTCCAGTGTCGCGGCTCAACATTATTGATTCGAATAAGTGAGGCCCCCTATTCGAATAAATGAGATCAGATATAATATTTTTAAAAGGTCTTCATTCAGTCAAAGCTTCTATCTCTCACAAAAACCCAATCGCGCCTCTTTCTCTCTCAGCGACAAACCCTAGGTCGCAGTTCTTCATCTTCTCTGGTGTCTCATCACCTCCTTCGCCACTTCTCCTACCGGAATTCATGGCTTCTCGCACCAAGAAGAGGACTTCACGGCCTTCTACTCAAGCCACTCATCCGGGCTCCTCTTCTCAACCTCCTACTTCAAACGAAAATCAAAGGTTCGAATTTGCTCTCAACCCTAGAATTTTCTTTGATAGTGAAGAAGCTTTGAATTTCTATCGTGACAATGTACTTCCCCGGAAAATTATCACCCCTCGTTATGTTGAACTTGTTGATTTTGAGCGAGATACTTCTTATGAACCAGTTTTGTCTAAGCTTCGTTCTTCGGGGTTGATAAATGTTGTGANCTTTCAAGCGTAGAAATCATCAATATGTGATTATTTCTAAGTTTTGTGGTAAAGAGGTTACTATTTCTAGTGGTGAATTGAATGAGATGTTTGGCATGGAGAATAGTAACAAGGAGCTCACTACCCAAAATAATGATCAAAACCCGTGGTATAATTTTGATGAACAAAAGTGTTGGGAAGTGATGAATTTTCGACCCAAATTCAATGAATCTGGACGGCCCAAGGTGAATGGAATGCAACCTCCTCAACGCCTCATTCAATATATTTCCTCTTATATCCTGCGTGGGCGCTCGGGCAATCACCCTCAAATGAGCAAAGACGATGCCATGCTTATCTATGCAATCTTGAAGCCGGTGTCTATCAATTGGGGGAAGTACATCTTGACATACATGAACTTGTGTCGGGCAAAGAAAAAATCTCTACCGTACCCCATGCTTCTCACCTATCTTTTGAAAAGGAAGGGATTTGAATTTGTGAATGCCGAGATGGATAGTGAAACTCCTTTTTGGAGGATCAAGAGGTCAACAGTAATGAGAACCAAGCTTGATGGTGAAGATGAAGCACGTGCAGAAACCGGAACTTCTCAGTCACATGTGGCTTCCCGGGGTCACAAGGTCACATTGCCTATGCTTTTTGAGTCCCTGCAAAGCCTCCAATCCTCCTTCAACAACATCCAGCTCCAACAGGCCACTTACGGTTATAACTTGAATAAGATGTTGGTCAAGAGTGGAGAGCACTGGGAAACACCATCCTTTGAAGCGCTCGCACCTTACATGTCTCAGGGTTCTTCTTCTCATACCGCTCCTTCTGATGCTGATAATGATGAAGACGATGAGGATGATGAAGAGGAGGATGATATTGCACAAGAAGAAGCGACCATGGATGAGGAATGAGTGGTTGGGACTCCGTTTTTGTTATTATTAACTCTTTCATTCCTTTATGCTTTCTCTTATCTCTTATTGCACTTACCCTTAGCTTAACCCTTGTGTTTGTGTTTTTGACTGTGCTATCCTATGTGTTTCTCTTTCCTTTTTGCTTATGACAAAAGGGGGAAATGTGATTGTGTTGCTATTTGCTTGTGCTTGATAGGTGGCACACAAACAGGGGGAAGTAGTTGTATGACTTGTTTTTTGGTTTTGTTATTGTTTTGGCTTGCTATTGTTTTGGTTATTGCCTATGAGACAGGACTTTGCATTTTTGACAAACACAAGCTCAAGCAATTCTTTGGTTGGGTTTGTCATTATCAAAAAGGGGGAATTTGTTAACCCTTGTGTTTTGATAATGACAACCTTATATGTGGGATAAGCTTTGGATCTTTGAATCAAGTCACCTGGATCATTTCGTAGGGATTATCTTGCAAGTCGGCTTACGAGCTCCAAGACAAGAATTGGCTTACGAGCTCCAAGACTAGAATTGGTGTTAAAAAAAAAACAAAAGGTTTTTAGATCTTTTACATTTTTTTTAAGTCTTAGTTCTTGTTAAAGTGTGTGGCACATGTTTATTCTTCAAAATTCTCTATTTCTCTTAAAAGAATTCCTTCTTTATTGTTATTTAAAATGTTTTTTTTCAAAACTATGTTTTCCTAGGCTTTTGTTCGAATAAATGATGATTTATTCAAATAAGAGGGACCTCTGCAGATTGCAGCTCGGTCTGTTTTAATCGAACAAATGCTTGTTTTATTCGAATAAGTGTTGATTCCATTTTTCCAGACTTTTGAAAATTATTCGAATAAATGGTTATTTATTCGAATAAGTAGCTTCCCAGAATTTCAGTTCACCCTGGTTTATTCGAATAAATCTTAGATTTATTCGAATAAGAACTGCGTTTTCTAAATTCCTGTTTTATCAAAACTATTCGAATAAATGGTGTTTTAGTCGAATAAATTGATAGTTTTCATAACTAACGGTCAGTTTTTAAATTCCCGTGGAGGTTTCTTCGGCCCTATCCATATATACTCAATCTAGTTTCATTTTTCAAAATACAAGAACATCCAAGAACATTGACAATTGCTATCCTTTGAGAATTTCAAAGAGTTTTATTGAATCAAATCCTCTTACTCAATTAATTCAAGCATTTTCTTGAGCAAGCCTTCATATTGAAGTTTGGAGAGTCATTTGTGCCATGCACTATAGATTTTGTTGTAATCTACAGCATATCCGCTCTTGTTCGAAGAGTCAATTCCGCTGTGCACTTTGGTTTGTAAGTTTTTAAATTGTAAAACAAAAACTTGAATTTAAAATAATTCAAGTTTTGGATTGAAATCCAAAGTCTTGTGAAATCAAGACTTCGGTGGAAAGGTTAGAGGCTTGTGAAATCAAGTTCTCGAGTTGTATTCGGATTGTTAAACTCCGTTAAGTTTAACAAGGATTAGTGGAATCTCGGGCACGTTTGCCTTGGGGACTGGACGTAGGAATTAGGCCGAACCAGGATATATCGTTGTCTCCTCGCTTTTAGTGTTTCCGTTAATCTTTTTTTTTCCTGCGCTTTTTCTTCTTTAAACGAAATTTTTTTTATTTTCGTGAACACCTCTATTCACCCCCCCCCCCCCTCTAGAGGTGTGAAAGGCGTCTAACAGTCCATATTAGGGTAAACCCGGACCAGGCCGGAATATTCAGGTTCGGACCGGTCCGGACTGGTAACCAATAGGTCCGGTTTCCGGTCTTAAGAAAATCCTGATTCCGGTTCCGGTCCTAACCGGGTCCGGTCCGGTCCGGTTTTGGACCGGTGCACACCCCTACTCACACGTGCCACCATATTTACGTCAACTCTCGACCCTCACTCACTCTCTCTCTCTCACTCGTTCCTTGTCGACCGAAAATGCAGAGCAGCAGAGACAGAGCCAAAGGAAGGAGGAGGAGGAGGAGGAGGAGGAGGAGGAAGAGGAGGAAGAGGAGGATGAGAAGAAGAAGAAGAAGAAGAAGATGATGATGATGATGATGATGATGATGATGATGATGATGAGAAGGAAGAAGAAGAGAATAGAAGAAAGAAGAAGAGAATGGAAGGAAAAAGAAGAGAAGTCATGCCATCACCGTTGTTCGTTAGATTCGTTCCTCGTAGCTTTCGTTTGTCAAGTTGGAGGTGAGTACGTGGACATCTAACATTAGGTTATATCTATAGTTTTGAATCTTACGTTCGTAGAATCATTATGGCTGATTTATGTGAAACCCTACGTGTGATAGTTTGATTCGATTATTGGTAGTTTGTGGGTTAGAATGCATGAATTGTTATGGCTATAATCATGGTATGATTAGATAGTATTTGGGAATTGAATTATGAACATATTAGTAATGAGTTGTATGAAATTGGCAGTGGATTGTTGCTAGAATTCGGTTAGTGCATAAACAAGTTTCCGCTAAGACGATAGGCAGTACCGCCCCAGTCCGTTCTCCACTGTTGGAACCTGCTACCGTTCGGTACCTAGATTTCGGACAGACGGTAGCTAGCTACCATCACATACCATATGGTGTTGGCAGACTCTATCCTAGTCAGTACCAGGCATACTTTTAAAAACCGGACCGGACCGGCTGGTTCGGACCGTGAACCGGCGAACCGGTGGTCCAACCGGTCCGGTCCGGCCCAATGGACCGTAATGAGCTTCGAACCGGTCCGAACCGGCTTGAACCGGTAAGAACTGGCCGGTCGGACCGGTCAGACCAGTTTTTTTTTTTTTGCAATTTTTCCAAAACTTCACTCCATGGGGGTTCGAACCCAAGACCACTTTGCTATTTGGTTGAGTTCCTAACCACCCAACTAACAGTGCTTGTTGTTTTAGATTTGTATAATTTTTTATAATATTTCATAATTAAGAAAAAGATTGCATAAAAATCCCTTTTCAATTTTAAAAATATAATGCGTAGTAGTTATATAGCTATGAGTTGAACACAAAATCATTGATATTTTTTTAAATAAAATTTTAATACTATTTTTTAATATGTAAATTTTTTCTTTTAATTTAGTAAAATAACTCAAGTATATTAATACGAGTATAATTTTAGTCAAATATTATAAATTACTTTCTTTATGTAATTATATATGAGAATGGGGCAAGGTTCCCATGACATTGGGAACCATGGTGATGAGAATGTGTGTGTGTGTGTATTTATATTTATATAATTTTTAAATATGTTTAAACCACCGGTTCGACCAGTTAAACCACTGGTTCGACCAGTGAACCAGTACCTTGACCGGTTCGGTCACCGGTCCGGTTCTCAAAACTATGGTACCAGGTACTGCCTAGACGGTATTAGGTACCATGTCGGTACCCTAGTGCCGGACTAAGTACCGCCTGGTACCCAGAGTTTGTTCGTAAGTCTATTTTTGTGTTGAAGGTTTATTCCAAGACCTTGTATATTGGATGATGGTAAGTATGGTTGTTCACACCCAACGCTAGGCCGATGTTTAAGCATGTAATTTGGTTATATTGGATATCATTATGCCTATTTTATGAGATATGTACTTGTGAATGTAATGTCACATTAAAGTAACATATGAATCTGGAAGAACTCTAGAATTTAACCTGAGTGGAATATAGGCAAGTTATGCCCCACAAGTATAAAAAGGTTGGAGCCACGTGGCACCTGCTGAGTACAATGGTTATTCGGGTACAAATTTGTGCACGGGGATCTATGAAATGTCGTTCTAAAGGGGACATGGATCACCCACCCAATGAGGAACTCCTGAGTTGGTTGAGTTGGTCTTTGTTCCAAATAGGAAGATCATGACTCCAATAAAAAAAGTCAAAAGTTAGAATATGCTTATACCTAGAATAGGTTATGCGCCAAGTATGTAAGTTAGATGACTAAAGTAATAAAGAGTTAATGTCTCGTATCGTTTCCTAATGCTTATGAATTGAATTGTTATGTTGATATTCATGGTGAACTTGTATGCATGATATCGTGTGATGTTATGAACTAGTGAGGTCATCTGTATGTATAATCGAATGTTAGATATTTCTCACTTAGCTTCAATGTTGAGCGTATATCATTTGTTGTTTTGTTGCACGTAGGTAATCAGGATCAGGGTGAACCTAGATTCAATCTCGGAGGACGATGAGGAAAAAGAGGTGTGTGTGGTTGCAGTTGAAGAGTTGTTTATTTAATTACTGTTTAAATCACTATTTAATATTTTTATGGGTTGAATTTTCAAGTTGTTGAGATTTTTTTAAAGGCTCCCGCAATATTTTTAGTTAATCTGATGGATGTTTAAGTTTTGGATTAAATGTTTTAAAAGTTGTTTTGGAATTGGGTTGTTTGGATACCATATTAGTAGCAACCTTGTTTGCTAATTTATTTATTCGGGTTACACGGGTTTCAGGTGTTACATTTTGGTATTGGAGCACATGGTTTTGAATCCAATCTTTTGAACACAATGAATGGTTTCCAATATGATGCACCACATCTCTTGCGACTCATCCGCCTCGGGAAGATATCGAGTTTCTAGTTTTGCATGTTATGTGTTGTTAACTGAATAGAATAATTTGTATTTATAAAATGAGTAAAGCATCGACCCACAACCATGGTAACTCACAGCAGAATGATGAAGAGCACGTCGAAGCCCACTCCAAAGAGTCTAGCTTCGTCCCGCTACAAAATTCCAGACAACCAAAGCATGTTGAAGGCTGAGAAGGACTTCTCTCAGGCCTATGGCCCACAACCAAAGCTTTGTCCCGCAACAAAATTCCACAAAAAATTTCCATCGGACTTCTCTCAAGCCTATGATGTAATACCCCATATTAAGATGGGAATGGGAAGAGCGCAAAAGGATTTATAGTACTACTCATACCAACAAGGTGCATCTTCTTTTCGAGAGCTCATCACCTAGAAACTCCAAAGTTAAGCGTTCTTGACCTGGAGCAATTTTAGGATGAGTGACCCTGAGAAATTCCTTGGGCGCGCACAAGTGAGGACAAAGTGTGCGAGAAAGACTTGTGTTGGTTTGTGGGCCAAGTCTACAATCCTATGAGCAAACACTTACGGCCGGGGTGGGGGCCGGGGTGTTACATATGACCTTAGGTTGAAGGCTGAGATCTTGTATGTTGCATGACGGTAAGCATGAGTGTTCACACCCAGCGCTACGCCGATCTTCGATGATATTTGGTTATGTTGGACATGATTATACCTATTTTACGAGATATGCACTTGTGAGTGTAATGTAATATTAAAGTAACATATGAACCTAAAGGAATTTTAGGATTTAACCTGAGTGAAATATAGGCAAATTATGCCATAAGTATAGAAAGGTTAGAGCCATGTGGCACTTGCTAGGTCCAATGGTTATTTGGGTACAAATGTACGCACGATGATCTATGAACTATCGTTCCAAAGGGGACAAGGATCTCACCCAGCCAATGAGGAACTCCCGAGTTGGTTGAGTTGGTCTTTGTTCTGAAAGGGAAGATCATGACTCCAATAAACAAGTCAGAGTTAGAATAAGCTATACCTAGAATA